TATTCCTTGTGCGGGTAACCTCCATTTTCCCTATTTGTTACGTACATGATAGCCTAGAGTTAAGTCATCTTTACACATGCCTGACAGAGGCTACATGGATGGCAAACACTGCACGACTCACTAAAATCCAGTGAACGACAGTCAAAGCCAAGTGTGCAGCAGCTGGTTGCTCGTTGAGAGTCGTGGCGGTGGCAGGCATGCGATGTTGATGTATGCGAGAGTAACTGGTGACTTTCCATGCTAGTTTGATATACCTGAGTAAGGAACTGACCAGGTCTAGAAAGGCTGTGAGAGCTGCCTGCGGCCACTGCTACTGCTAACCTTTATTTGAGAGACCTTGGTTAATGCGCCATTAAAAATCGTATTTCAGGGGCACATGGGTGGCTCAGTGGGTTAAGCATCTGCCTTCAGCTCAGATCATGATCTCAGGGTCCTGGGATCGAGCCCCGCATCGGGCTCTCTGCTTGGCGGGGAGCCTGCTTCCTCCTCTCCCTCTGCCCTCCCCCTGCTGTGCTCCCTCTCTCTCTCTCAAATAAATAAAAAATTAAAAAAAAATATTTCAAAAAGATATAAAGCACATTAATGATACAGTGAAACGCTCATATATGATGATTAAACAATAGTTCACAAAACAATATGTTTGGTAATATTCGTAAAAATAAATGTGCATGCAGAGAGAAGATGAAACCTACTCTAAAATGATGATGTTATAGTATTGGGGGTGGGTTTTGTTTCCTTCTTTCCATTTTTTCATATTTTTTGAGTTTCCACAAACATTTCTTCATAATGCATTCATTTTATAACCAGAAAAAAGTCAATAATTTCATCTGAAGGTGTTTATTTAGAATATTTAGAATATTTTGAAAAGGTGAATTTTGGCAGTTACTCTATTTTTTAAAGAAGCTACGCCATTGGCACAGTAATCCAGAAGAGAATGAAAGAAAGAAAATAGAAGATTCAGAAATATGGCCTAGTGCACAAAACAGCTTAATGTATACATTGGCCATCACACATTTGTGGGAAATGGATGTTTGCTCAAGAACAATGTCAGGAAAATTGGCTAGATATTTGGGGGGGTGGGATGAAGAATCAACTTAGAGCTTTCAAAATAATTTATAGATTAGTAAAAACTTAAATCCTAAAAATCAAATAGTTTATATGTTGGAGGCAATATAAGAATATTTCCTTAAAGATTCCACTGAAAACATAAAAGTTTGAAGACCACTATACTATATTATTTGATTTCAATAAAATGCAATGCACTGTTACTTCTCAAAAACTACTGGAGAAGTAGGAACAATGGTCAAAGCGTCACATTCCCCCAACACCGGCCTCATGGTCATTTAAATTCCTGCTTTAGGAAACTTGTAAATCTTTCTATAATTACCTTGCAAATAGTCCAAATCTCATATATAAAATCTGAGAATATCTAGGCCTGTCTCTTAAGAAATAAAAGATTTGTGTACTAAGAGTTCACCAGCCTTCCCTAATGTGATCAGTCTGTCCTAACAAGAGCCGACTTCCACTCAGATGTCTCAACAGAAGAGATTTTATGGAAGGGACTATTTACAGAAGTTCTGGGTTAGGTTTAGGGTAGGGTGAAGGGATGTAACACGACACGGAGGTGGTAAGAGACCCGAAGGTACCCAGGCTCTTGCAACACAAGAAGCTGTTAACCACCACTAGGACTGACGGGATCAGGGGAGGAGATCAAATCAGCAGAGCAGTGAAGGGGAAGCTGCCTTGCCTCAGAGGTCCAAATGGAGAAAAGAGGTCAGAATAAATACCCCAGGGGCGCCTGGGTGGCTCAGTGGGTTAAGCCGCTGCCTTCGGCTCAGGTCGTGATCTCAGGGTCCTGGGATCAAGTCCCGCATCGGGCTCTCTGCTCGGCAGGGAGCCTGCTTCTCTCTCTCTCTCTCTCTCTCTCTGCCTGCCTCTCTACTTGTGATCTCTCTCTGTCAAATAAATAAATAAAATCTTTAAAAAAAAAAAAGAATAAATACCCCAGTTTTTTTCCTTTCTACCCTCCAACCTATTTCTGGTATCACCCAGTGGTCACTCTTACCTGGAAGCCAGCTGGCAAAACAGCCCAGAGAAAATGGTTGATGAAAGCTCTGCCTGCAGTGACAAGAATCCAGCAGAGAAGGGTGGAAAATGGATCTAGCAGGGAGCTGGTAGAAAATAACCAGCGCACTTACAATGGTGAGGTATTGGGAATCCTGATCCGATCATAAAGCAATGCTTAACTTAATGATGGTATTAACCATTCCCTAATGAAGAAAATAATGGTACTCAAAAGACCATTATACATTCAAGGAGCACAGAAGAGACGGCAAATGGCTCCATCTGAGAGATTGAATTCTGGGTGGATTTTCTCAATTTGACAGCTAAGGTGCTTTCTTGTTGCCTATGTGAAGTTTCTTATATTTTTGCTTATTCCAAAAGAATACATATCCACTATAGGAAACACACACATATCAGAAAACCAAACATCTACAATCTCACCCCTACTGCAACACCACTATCAACATCTCAGTGTGTTTACATCTTTCCGGATCTTTTTCTCTGCACACAAACACAGGAGTATGTTGTATTCGGGATGATGACATAGACATGGTTTTCTTTATTGAATTTTTCCTGTAATAAGTCAGGAGCACTATCTCATGCAATAAAATACCATTCTGCCACTTTTTAAGAGACTTTAAACTTTTAAAATACTTGTCTGGTTACAACTGATTTCTATCCTCATTTAGTGTGCTTTCTCTTTTGACTATTACCAAATACACTGTGATGAGCTTTCTTACAGTCTACCCTGCACACATCACTGTCCTCATGCCAATTTCAGGCCACAGCCTGTTTTTCTACAGCCCTCAAGCTTACAGTTCTCATATTTTTACAGGGTTTTAAAAACAAAAGCACATACACAAGAAAAGCAACAGAGACACATGTGGCTTGCAAAGCCTAAAGTATTCACTATTTGGGCTTTTACAGAAAACATTTGTCAATTCCTCTACTATGAATTCCCAGAAATGCAGTTTTTGAGTCAAAGGGTGTGAACATTTTTGAGGCTTTTACTGCATTTGGCCAAACTGCCCTCCAGAAACACTGAAGCAATTTATGTCCTTCTCAGTACTGAGTTTGGTCTTTTGCCCACATCCTGCCACAAGGGTCCCTGGCCTAAATCAGTAGCTTTTATTCTCAGTCAAATCGACCGTGTATTAGCTTTTTAAGTTTTCGCTTCCCATAAAAGTATGTTTGGCCATTTACATTTTTCTTTCATGAATTAACTAATTTACATTTTTGTCCATTTTTTAACAGGATATTTATACTTTCTTCGTACGATCTGTTTAAAAAAATGTTACTCTCAAAAAAAATTACTCTCCTATCTTGTAGATATTGCAAAATTTTGGTGGTTTTTACTCATCTTTCAATTTAATGGGTTTTTCTGATAAAAGAAATTAATTCTATAATCTCATTTTTCCTTTGTAATTTTGTCCTTTGTTCCAATTTTACTTTCAGATTAAAAGCAATTCAGTTATATTTTATCTTTGAACTTTTAAGACTACTTTGTTTTTTTAAGATTTGATTTATTTGAGAAAGAGCCAGAGAGAGTGCCAGAGCAGGTGTAGGGGCAGAGAGAGAAGCAGACTCCCCTGCTCAGCAAGGAGCCCCTAGTGGGGCTCCATCCCAGGACCCTGGGATCATGACCTGGGCAGGAGGCAGCCACCTAATCGCTTAACCAACGGAGCCACCCAGGCGCTCCAAACTTTGAAGACTTCTAAAAATTTTAAATCTTTTAATCCTTCTCAAATTTAGTGTCGGAGAAAGGTTTTTAAAGCGTGCATAAGTGATATAATGTGAATCCTGGAGTCCTACTGCTGGATTCGAATTTGATATCTGACTCCTGGAAGTCAAGTTTATTCTTCCTTAAGTGGAGGTAACAGTAGGGCCTACCACGGACCCTGCAGAACACAGCACTAGCGCAGCGTCATGGCTGTTCCTCAGGCAGCCTCCTGCCGAGCTGGAGACCGCAGGAGCCACACGGGAGCAGGACGGTGAGCCCAGGCCGGGGATGTAAGGTTTGCGCGCCCTTCCCGGAGCCTGACCGTCGGGCACTGCCCCTGACCGCGGTCTCGGCGGCTCCTCGCTGCCCCGGCCCAGGGCTCACGTTGGGGAGACACAGACAAGAAACCCGCCCGCCGGAACCTCCCCACACCGCTTCCCGATTTCTTGCCGTGGACCGAGCTGCAGGTTCACAGTCCCCGGTGTCCCGGCCCCCCGGCCGACGAGCCCAGCCGGCCCCGCGGCAGCAGCCTCTTGCCCGGACCCTTCTCGGGCCTCGCGGGCCGGAAGGGACGACGCGGGCAGCCGGGCGCTCCCCGACCCCGGACTTGGGGGGCCCGCGGGGCGCGTGTGCTCGATGCTCCGCTGCTCCCGCACGTCTCCGCCGCCCGTTCCCCCCCACCCCCGGGTCGCGGGCCGCGGGCCGCCTCAGGCGAGGGCTGGAGAGGGGCGCGCCCCACCGCCCTGCGCCGCCCGACCAGGTGCCCCCGCCCGCGGCTCGTCCGGCGCGCAGGACGCTCCGCTGCCGTGTGAACCGCCCGCACCCCCGACCTTTCTGTCCCCATCGCCGGACCCACAGCCGCGGCGGGAAGCCCTGTCCTCCGGCTGCCGACCCTCCCCGAGCGTCCTCCCGGAGCCGCGCGCGGGAGCGCAGGAGGGAGCGGCCCCCGCGCCTCGGGGGCGGCTGCGGGGAGGGACCGGAACCGCGCGTGAGGGGACCCGGGCGCGCTCGTCCCCCCCAGCGCCCGCCCCGGATCGTCCCGCGCCCCTTGTGACGTCGCAGACGCCGGCCTCGGCCCGCGTGGGATGCCCTCGCCCCCCCCGTCGCCGGCCCGCCCCGGCCCCGCCGGCCCGCCCCGGCCCCCCCGACCCCGCCCGCGCCCCGGAGCCGCGAGCGTCACGCCGCACCCACGCCGCGAGCCCGGGAGCCGAGGGGCGGCCGCCGGCGGATGCTGAGGTCCGCGCGCCGGGGACGACCGGGCACCTCCCCGCGGCGGCCCCGCCGAGCTCCTGCCCCCCGCGCTGAGCCCGCGCCCCCGCCGCCCCGCGCCGCCGCCGCGCTTTCCTGCTCTCCTCGCCCGCCTCTTCCGTCTCCGGAGGGAAGCGCCGCCGCCGCCGCAGCCCGGCGCAGGGCAAGCGCCCTCCTCCTCCCGCGCGCCCCCCGTCCCGCCCGGGTCTGCGGCCCCGCGTCCCGCCGCTGCGGAGGCAGGTGAGTGCGCGGGCGCCGGGCGGCTCCGAGCTTCCCCGCGCGGGCCGACTGGACCCCCGCGCGGCCGCGGGACCCCGGAGACACGGGGGTGGGCGAGGCCAGCAAACGGCTGCGTTTAGACCCGATGGCCCTGAGCGTTTCCCGGGGGGCGGGCGGGGGCGGCCCGGCAGGTGCGGCGCAGCGTCGGGCCCCGCCGCCCTGGGGATGCTCGTGCGGCCGCGGGGCTTCCGGGGGAGGCCGCGCACCCCTCCCCACCCCCGGCGCCGCACCTGCGCGAGGCCGCACCGCCGGGTCAGTCTCCGCAGGGGGAGAGGCGGGCTCGGGACGGGGCTTCCCGGTCGCTGTGGCCGGAACTCGAGGGGACACTCGACGGGGTCTGGCCGGATCGCGGGCGCCGTTCGACACCGAAAGCATGGGGTGGGGGGGAGACCCAGAAACCCAGATTATTTCGTCCGTGCATGAAGAGTGCATGTGCACACTTAGGTGTGCATTTTGGAGGTTTCCGCCTCTAAAGCTAATTTTAAGGCGTCGAATAAGCAGGACTTTGCCCACTGTGCGACCGGAATTGACTTCAAAAGAACGGCGGGTTAAGGCTGCGTGGACAGACCACTCAGGAATCCCACACGTCGAATAAACATTTTTTGGGTCCTTTTCCTGTGATTCCTAACTTTGAAATCAAACAAGTTTAAGGATCTCAGCCCTATAACAGTCTAATGATGAAAATAATCCACTGAACTACTATTCACTGATGCATTAGCTAAGTGACCTCATTTTTCGCTTTAAAAATAGGGAATATAAAGGAAAAAATGAAAGGGAATGGAAGAGTTCATTTCTCAACATGTATTTGAATTCTTATATATTTATTTATTTATTTTAAAAAATATTTTATTTATTTGACAGAGATCACAAGTAGGCAGAGAGGCAGGCAGAGAGAGAGAGAAGAGGAAACAGGCTCCCTGCTGAGCCGAGAGCCCGATGCGGGGCTCGATCCCAGGATCCTGAGACCATGACCTGAGCCTAGGACAGAGGCTTTAACCCACTGAGCCACCCAGGCACCCCTGAATTCTTATTTAGAAGCTACTTTATTTTTAAACTTTTGTGGATTTTTCTACTCCTCCTGAAGTTAGTTCTTGGTCATGAAGAGGATTGCGTAAGGTGCATAAGGTTACACTTTTTGCATAAAATAAGCTACCATTTCTATCCATGCTGTTGGACTAAACCACCACTTGCTTGGAGGTTATGCCTGGACTTGCCATTTGATGTAAAATATCTCATTACAGATTTAAATTATAACTATACTTGTGCTAGTCTAGAAAGAAAATGACACTATTAGACATACAAGGACTCTGAAATGAAAGTTATAAAATTATTCGTTATATATGTACTTCTTTTATTTCTGTCTCTGATAACAATTAGGAAAGGTCTTATTCTACTTCATCTTGTAGGTAAATTGTGTAAAAAATAATTATGTTTTATAAAGTGACTAATAAAAACAAATGTTTTCATTTATTAAAGGTGAGGACAGTACATATGAGAACTTTTTCTAGGTGTGTCTCCTTCATAAATGTCTTTGTTAAAATACTTTTCATCTTGTAGTGAAGCTAATCAAACTCTGTACACCGCTGTTTTTGTTTGGTTTAGAGTTTAGAAACAAGAGCAGAGTTGACAGCATTTTGCTTCCCATCTCTTGTGGTTAGCGTAGTTTCCCAAATTTGCCTAATTTAAAAAATTACTTCAGGTGGTGGACAGCTGGGGGAGGGGGAAATGAAAGTGGTTTAAAAAGATTCCAGGGTTGCAACTTGAGACTTTCTGAATCAGAATCTCTAAGTTTAGGAGATGATACTTCAAATAGGTGAAATGATAAAAAATTTTTAAAAGGCGAGGTTGGAAAGCACAGGTGGGAAATACTGCTGCTGTAATGAAGAGCTGACATAACCCCTTCTCATTCCTGTCCATAAAATGTTCTTAAATGGAAGCTATGGTTTTACTAATATGATGATGTCACCCATTTAGGAAACCTGAAACTTTTATATCATTTTGTAGTTAGGCCTCCTGGTGATTTAACCTTGCAAACATTTTTGCATATTCAGTCTCTTTTATGTAGTATGCAATGTTAATTCAAGTCCTCTAATGTTATAGGAACCTTTTATTAATGGGCTTTTAATGTAGATTCCTGTGACTAGTAAACCACAGCAAAATACTGTGCTTGATCATTTATCTTTCATATAACAGATTTATTTTCTACCCCTTTTGTGCTCCTAACTAGAGAAGACAAGCTCATAAATTTTAGTAACTTATTTAGAGCTTTTATTAAATGACCTAACCCCATCCAAAAAAGAAAAAGAAAGTTTTGGGAGAGCATAAAATATGGTCAGTTTTATATAAAAACAAATTAGCAAAAAATAGAGTATTAAACAACTATAAAAGAATTTGTTAAGATGAGTTACCACAATGGAAAGGGTCAGAGTTTTCTTTCCTTTTCTTCTCTCTCCATTCCTTTTCTTTATTTCTCTTGTTTTCTTTTGAGGGGTGGAGAGGGTTGTTTGCAGGCCTGTTTTTTAATCAAATAAATATTTAAAATCTCCTAACAATTATCCAAGTTTAAATTAATGTAAGTGTTTGCTAACTTTATCAATAGATACTTAAACCTATCCTTTACAGAGCTATGATGGTAGGTTTCCCACAGTGCTAATTAGAGTTAAAACTACTAGCAAAAGAGTTAAATTCAAATGACCAAAGGAAACTGGTCTCTAATACTGCTAAAGGAGAGCCTAATTTAGTTACAGTGATGTCATAATTTTTCATTATCTGTTGCTTTTTAAATAGCATCTCATCTTCCAAATTCTAGAACACTTCTCAGGGTTTTTTTTTTTTTTTTTTTTAGGAATTTGCAAGAATCTCTTCTAATCACAAATAATCCCAGTTTGATCTGGGAATAACAGGTTTGTTTTAAAAATATGGCTGATGGTTGGGGCACCTGGGTTCTTCAGATGGTTGAACGTCTGCCTTGGGCTTAGGTCATGATCTCCAAGTCCTGGGATCAAGTCCCAGGGCTGGCTCCTAGCTCAGTGGGGAGCCTGCTTCTCCCTCTGCTGGTGGGCTCTCTCTCTTTCTCAGAGGGGTAAATAAAATCTTTTAAAAAGATATGGCTGCTGGCTAGCATCATTAGTAAGGGAGATAGAAATAAGGAATCAGATCAAGAAGATAAATATTACCCAGCTTACACAGTTATCCATGGTGCAGGATTAGCAAGAATACAAGAGAATTTAGTAGATTTACATACTGGCTCTACTGATACATTTATGTTTTTTACTATTTTGAACTTTTCAAATAAAAGGACTATATTCTTTTATTAGTTTGTGTTTCTTTAAAAGCAAATGTTACATTCAATATTGGGTATTGATTTATTCAACACTAGTAAATATCTGTTAAAAATCAACTTTGCCTCTACAAAGTGGAAGTAGAATGACACGAGGTATCCTGCTAAACCCAGTTTGCAAAAAATTATATATAACATGACCTATGACCTTTGCTTCCCTAATAATCAGAGAATGTATTTTGGTCATGTTATTTTATCATTACAGTAAAAAAAAAAAAATTAGCCATCTTCCAAAAAGTCTGTAAAGAACTCCTTTGAATCACATTCTCTAACAGTTATAATCTGAAAACTTGCATGAGTAATCCCTTACAGATGAACTTGGGTGGAAGACAATCCTTTTAAACATGTTTATCTCCAATGAAATAGAAATCAGTTGACTAACAAAACTCCCACTGTGTGTCACGAGGAGATGGAAAAAAAATGTGTATCCCGCTCTCAAGGGATTTATAGCCTATTAGAGAATAATGGTTCCCCCAGGGCTGGCTTGGATGGGGGGGTTTAGGCCCTCATAATGTTCATTAACCCTCCGCCCACACCCAAACTATTGCATAGGAATGTAGAATCTCAGTGTTAAAAACCAGCACGATTCCTGTAAAAAATTAACTTCAAAGCAATAGCCTAGTGCCCTTCTTTCAACAATTTTTATGCCCCTCCCCAGCCTCGTTTTTTCCATTCGATCAACAAATATTTATTGTGCCCTCATTAGGTAGATGACAAATGCCAGCAGTTTTTAAAATGTGCATTTTGGGGGGCTTCTGAGTGGCTCAGTCGGTTAAGCATCTGCCTTCAACTCAGGTTGTGACCCCAGGGTTCTGGGATCAAGTCCCGTGTTGGGCTCCTTGCTCAGTGGGGAGTCTGCTTCTCCCTCTGCTTCTGCCCCTCCCCACCCTGCTGGTGCTCTCTCTGCTCTTTCTTTTTTTTTTTTTTTAATTTTTTAAAATTTATTTAATTGAATTAATTAATTTATTTATTTGACAGAGATCGCAAGTAGGCAGAGAGGCAGGCAGAGAGAGAGGAGGAAGCAGGCTCCCCACTGAGCAGAGAGCCTGATGTGGGGCTTGATCCCAGAACCCTGGGATCATGACCTGAACTGAAGGCAGAGGCTTAACCCACTGAGCCACCCAGGTGCCCCTCTCTCTGTTCATTCTTGCATGCACAAGTACTCTCTCTCAAATAAATAAAATAAAAAATAAAATTGCATTTTTCAAACCTATTAATTTTATTTTTTACTCTTTAAAAATTGTAGTAGAATAGATATAACATAAAATTTACTATCTTAGCCATTTTCAAGTGTATGATTCACTGGCATTAAGTACTTTCCCTTTGCTATGCAACCATCACCACTATCCAACTCCAGAAGTTTTTCCTCATCTCAAACTGATACTCTGGACCCATTAAACAGTAACTCCTCACTCTCCTCTTCCCCCAGCCTCACCAACCACCACTCTACTTTCTATCTCTACAAATTTGGCTACTCTGGTTGCCTCACGTAAGTGGAATCATACAATATTTGTGCTTTTGAGTCTGGCTTTTATCACTTAGCATAATGTTTCCAAGGTTCATCCACATTGTAGAATGTACCAGGATTTCATTCCTTCTTAAGGCTGGGTAATATTCCCCA